GACTCAGGACACTTTTTCAAGTTTTTCGAAGTGGTCTGTACCGAACCGAAAATGATTCAGAGAATTGCAACCAATTCGAAACCTTTTTAGGTTCCGTACGATGTACGAAACCCTTTTTTCGTTCAAAGTACCTTTTTTGGTTCGGTATCGTACCGTTTTTTTTCAGTGTAGGATGACTAAGTACGTATAGGAAAGCACTAAGTAGCAGTAGAGTCATTAAGTAGCTATAGGAATCTATTAAGTAGCTGTAGCATGATAAAGTACGTATAGAAAAGCATTAAGTAGTTGTAAGATGATTAAGTAGCTATAGGAATCCATTTAGTAGCTATAGAATCATTAAGTAGCTATAGGAAAACATTAAGTAGCTATAGAATCATTAAGTAGCTGTAGGATGATTAAGTATGTATAGGAAAACATTAAGTAGTTGCAAGATGATTAAGTAGCTATAGGAATCCATTAAGTCGCTGTAGGAATCATTAAGTAGCTGTGGGATGATTAAGTAGGTATAGGAAAGCATTAAGTAGCTGTAGAAGCATTGACTAGCTATAGAAATCCATTAAGTAGCTGTAGAATCATTAAGTAGCTATAGGAAATCATTAAGTAGCTATGCTTAACAAAATACAGGAGAGTATTATTGAAAAGTATCTCTTTTGAGAATGAGCCGCTCATAAGTCCTGTTATCAAAGGGTTTACTAACTCTGACTTCGTTTGTTTAAAATTAGTCGAAATTCGGTTTTATTGAATCACAATTTCAATTAATAGTAAACGGTAATGAACAAAGGCAGCAACTTACCGTTACACTGACAAGTGAGATATTGATGTCGGTAGGCAGTACAACTTCGAAAGTAATATTTTAAGTGAGAATTTCATTTTTCTTCCGTATGGATTCATCGTGAAAAACGCTTTTGAGCCGTCACAACTTCCCACAGATGAGAGGCGTTCTAGACATATTCTAACACTTTCTAAAAATTACACTATTGTTTTGTTTTCTTTATATGAATGATTATCATAGTCAATTAACAATGAATGGGATAATGATGGATGTAGCAAAGTAAGCTCTAATTTTTCAGCTGTACAGCAAGGCAATATACGTTTATCAACCAAAACATCCAAGACTTTATCCAATAATGACAAACCTCCGTTAGCTACGTATAAATCTAATCGAAGTCTTCTTAAAGTTCATGATCTTAATTCAGTGAGTTGTTTTTCTTTTCAAGAATTAAACTTTTTTTCTTTCAAAGTATTCGTCGGGACATTTCATTCAAATTACTTCAATGAATGATACTCATCGATTGCAAAACCAAAAGAAGAAACGCAAAAGACGAAGGTGTGCTATTCATATACCTTCACATAATTGTGTAACTTTTTCCCTGGACTTTCCAGTGCTTGTTGTAACATATGCTCCGGTTATTGTTTGTTGTTCTTGATATTGGGGTTTTTACTTGTTGGCATCGTTATTGCCGCAATTGCTGTTGGATTATTGCTCAAATCTAAGTCAACAACAACGACGACAAGAACAATAATAACCACGACGGCGACGACAACAACAACGACAACAACAACGACAACAACGGCGACAACAACAATAACAACAACGACGACAACAACAAAAACGACAACAACAACAACGACGACAACAACAACAACAACAACTTCTACAAGCACTACGAAAGCTCCTAGTAAGTCTACTGATGCTAATATTGTATGTCACTTCGGATTCACCAATCGGTTTAATTTATTTGTGAGGAGTAGAAAGAAATTATCTGCATTCTATACAGTTCACTCTGATTTATTGATTGTAACTCGTTGTGCTGTTCATTAGTTGCGGTAGAAACTAGTATTAACCAAACTATTATGAAGCAATGAAAAGAAATTTAAACTGTCGTTGACCTCAAGAGCACCGCTTATCAAAATTCACTGCTACTGACGAAAAGTCTTAGAATAAAACAACCATTAGCCACTTTTTTCGGATTTCATCGTGATTTCGTCGTGAAGTACCGCGATATGCTAATTGATTACCACGTTTTTGCGTATGGCGAAAATTATGAATTTCAGATGCCGTAACCCGCTAATGGATACCCGTGTATGACTTTATATAAGTAATTACCCATTTTTAAATATCGAGGTATGCTAAAAGACAACCTGAGTGTCCTGAATATGACTGTACGGCTTCCGCTAATGATGCTTACGAGCATAGGAGAAGTCATTGATTTCAAAGATTGAGGCATCAGATATGATCAATATTCGTCAAATACTCTGATTTGAATTTTCTAATTGATATCAGAGTCAACTACAGTATTCGGTACTGAAGTTAGTGATGATTTTCTTAAATTACAGTCTGAAATACTCCAATGTATTACGTTATTGAGTAGTGCCGTGAGTGAGCATTTTCTAAATGGTGTCGATTTCGGTTTTAACCACGACATCTTATTCGAATTTTCAAGTGTGTCAAATTTTGTTATCATGAATCATTCGGAAGACATCTTCTACCACAGTTCCAGTTTGTCGCACTGCAGTATTTATTTAAGGAACTGTAATTTTTGAAGTTGACGTGCATCTAATTTTCACTGTAGTGTTAACACATTGTCTTGCAGTACATATCGTGGTATGAGGGAATCTATAAGAACGGTGATAATGTTGTGGACAAGTGTTTTTAAAATATGATCTTTAAATTTTGTTTTCGCGGGTAACTGAATTGTACTAAAAAGTCAAGTAGATCTGATCATATTGAGTCAGAAGAAGCTGATAAAAATTGGGGGTATACAGCAGTAAAAACAACCAAGGAAGTTAAACCATTTATTCGGTTTTAAATACAGTTTTATAATGCATCAAAAGGACACCGTTGTTTGTAGTAGTTTTTTGCAATGGCACAAGCGAGATATTTTATTTAATATTTTGAAACTAATTCAAATCGTGATCCTAGTTGCCACGCTTTCAATTAGTTTTATTCAAGAATTTTTCACAAATAAGCTATTTTTTATCGTATAAGAAATGTGTTGAAATATATTTTAGTACTTGTTTAAAGTATCTACGACTGGTTTCGTCTCGACTCAGAGAGAGATATAAAAATACAAATTGTTCTGTGGATGCTTGTTCCTCATGCTTTGTTTTATCAATAGAAAATAGACCGTACCCAGGTCGAGTAATCCAGGCACTGGATCCTGTCGGAAATCTGGCTTAATCCGATAAATTCCGGCAACTTCCAACAGGATCCATGTCGGAAATCGCCGGAATCCGGCCGAAAGTTGTCGGATCCGACGATTTCCGACAGTCAAACCGATAGTCTGAAAATGTCGGATACCTACGAAACCCGACAGAATCCTGTTGGGCTCATCTGGATATTAGAGCTTTTCTGGCTCCACTCGTCCCCTACTTTCTTCCTCAAATATATTGATCTGTCTGTTGATAGATTACATTCAGTTCATTTTAGCCTTCTATTTAATGTAAAATTTAAAAAAAATACAATAAATTAAAAAAATATATAAAATAAAATAAAAAAAATATAGCATAATAAAATAAAATACAAAGATAAATAAAATGAAAACAATATAATAAAATGCAAGCATGTAATAAAATAAAAATAAAGATAATAAAAATCATAATAAAATAAAATAAAAAAGTACATCATAATCAAATAAAATATAAAGTATCATAAAATAAAAATATATGACATAAATTTAATAAATATAACATAATAAAGTAAAAAATGCAATATATTAGAAAAAAAATTACAACAACATGAAAAGAAATTAAAATTAGTTAATTTAAAACGTTACGAAACAACAGAAAAAAATTAATAGAAACATACGATAGCTTGAAGGTGGAATAAAAAAAGATTAAATTAAATTGAAAAATTACAATAAAATAGGAAATTGAAATAAGAATTAAATAAATAAAAAGAGATAATATATGATAAATAGAACTAAAAAAAATTTTGCTTCCTGTTACTAATCATAATATTCGATCCTTAATTTAATCGAAAGTAAACTAAAAAGAAAGAAAGAACAAACGAAATACACATACCTCATTGTTCATTAGATGTAAAAACTGATTGGTGTAATTTACACACACGCTTTACAGTGAACGGGAGAGGGCTGCTGTATTTCAAGTAAAGAGAATGCCCATTAAAAATAAAATACAATGAAAATAAAATAAAACTGCTTAAAATAAGAATAAACTAAATTAAAAAATAAAAACATAATAAAAAAATAAAAGTAAATAAAATAAGCAGAAATTAAAAAAAAGTAAAATAGGAATAAATTTTAAAAAAATTAACTAAAATGGTATTTTATGAAAAACAACAAAACTAAATAAAATAAGAGGGATTTAAAAAATAAAATGGGAATAAATTAAAATAAAATAAAAGTAGCTAAAATAAAGATTTTACTAAAAAAATAATACTAAATAAAATAAAAATATAATGAAAAAATAAAATTAAATAAAATAAATAAAAATTTATTCGCAGGATATTAAATAATAATATTCAAAATTTAACTGAATTAAGTCGATTAGAGTGAAATCAAATAAACAACAAAGAGAAATATTATAAATAAAGACATTTGTCAACACTTCATCAGATCCGAGCGGAAGAGATTGAACTGGATTCACTATTGTATCCACTAATTTCCGATAGCCGGATGACAGCGGATCCGGTAAGTTCCAGCTATCGGAAACCGGAGGATCATACCAGCGGAATTCAGGAGAATCCGGCTGTCGGAAAACGTCGGAAATCAAGGGATTTGATGTGAATTCCGATAGTCGGCATCCTACCGGATCCGGTCGTCAGATGACGTCGGATTGTTCGGGGATCTTTCAGGATCCGGTTGGGTAGTTTCGCCCTGGGTATTTATGTCTCCATATAAAAGTTCGATAATTTTCAATTAATCAGTAAATACTGTCAATATTCTTTTCCTAAAATAGGTAATGTAAATAAGAAAACTTCTAGTTGAATTTTGATTAATAGCTGTTGCATGCCGAAATTCTCGATATCGTTTCGATAGTGCAATAATTTCTTACAAAAAAAATTCATAACGTTAATTTGGGTTTCTATCAATCTTTTATTGTCTAGTATTCAATGTTAATGCGTTAATCAATGGTGATGGTGAAACAGGTTCTTGCGCAACGGATTCAAGTGTCGCTAGCCCTACGGGATGGAACCACGATGGAGACATCACACAACTCGCTTACAACAACAGTTTCATATACAGCAGAGTAAATACTATTCCTGCGACTGCGTAAGATGAATATGAAGTTTCTTTTATCAATATTGTTTCTTCAGTAATCCAGGTAGTTGCTTATTCTATGGGCAAACAGCAGCAAACCCATCCATGTGGCAAACAGTCAATCTGACTGATTTCGCTGATTCTTCTCTCATCGATACTGGAACAGTAAAATTTAATCTTTCAGCATGGCTTGGTGGTTATGTGGCTCAGAATGATATGGCTGAAGTTTCAGTAACTTTTTATGATCAAAGCAGTCAAACAGTAGGAAGTGTAGCCAGTATCGGACCCGTTACCAATGTTGATCGAGGCAGTGTAACGTCATTTCTCTTTCGAAAAACGACCGGATTTGTATCTGTTGGAGCTCGTTCAGCAACAGTGCTTGTCTTAATTACTCGAGCTTTGGGATCTGTTAATGATGGCTATGTCGATAGCATCAATTTCTTCTTATATCAATAATGACGAAAAAAAAACCTTGTCGTAACGTAAAATATTCGTATACATGAAACTGATTTTTTTTGTTGAACAAATATATTATCTGACCTCCTTTCCTTTCTAGAACTCGCTAATGTTTTCAAAGCAAAATAGTGAGCATAATTTTAAATAGAGGTTTTGTGGTTTCTTCTCCTTGATACTCCGTTTACAGATTTTAGAAGTTCCTTCACCTTATCATGGAGTGTAGTACTCACCTAACAATCGTTGGAGAAGGGGACGGAAAATTGTTGAATACGCTTCTATAAGAACGAGAAATGGCGCGTAAGTAATATTAGTGCTTAAATCATTGTGAAATTCTGTAGATTCTAATAGGGTGTGGGTGTGGGTGTGGGTGTGAGCCATCCTCGCACCCACACCCACACCCACGCCCTCTGATTACATTCATAGTGATCGTATGATGGATATGGATTCGATGGTGGTGGAAACGATTGCTGTGTTGTATATGAATAATCTTTTTGTGCGGATGAAGAATAATATGTCGGTCTTGTCGAGTAATTGTTTGGTTGTCGACTCGATGATTGATAAGAATGTGATGGTAATGATAATTTGTCATCATTCTTCATTATAGTTGATACTTGAGTTGTTTGATTTTGTCTTAATTCAATCAACTTCTGAATATTTTCCAATTGTTGTACCTTTGTTAAAAAATCAAATGGTGTTGAATAAGTTTCTTTAATAGCTTCTTGATATAATGATAATTTAAGTCCATTTGTTAATTTACGAATTTTTTGTTTATCTGTCATATCTGAATCATATTTCTTGCATAAATCTATGACATCACAATAATACTTGATGACCGGCTCATTAATTTGCTGTTTTCGTTGATCGAATTGTTGTGCAATCAAATATTCATTCTTTTCAGCAAATTGTGTTATCACTGCTTGCTT